CCCTCAGCGCTGACCCTCCGACAGTGCGGCGCTCCCTCAGCGCTGACACAGGACTGCCAGCCTGGATTTTGAGCTCCATCCTGGAGCTTCGGAGTTCCTGGTGGGAATGCCAGCAGGGGTTATGTTGGAGAAAGGGGACATTTGTTGGAATATAGCATCCCCGTCACCTGACCAAACAAGGTCCCCGTTCCGTACCTCGACGGCCAGTAAGGGACGGACCCCATTTAGTGGATAGTTTGGGGAGTGGTGTCTTACCTCTGTGTGCTGCCACATTTAATGTTGGACAACAACGTCTCCCTCCCTCCAGCAGTGGGGCACTCCTCGTAGGCTTTCATCAAGCTGCCAATCAGAAACAGAGTCAGTCAGACAGAATCATGGTGTCAGCCAATCAGAATCGCACGGGTCAGGCGGCCAATCAGAAACGTAGTCAGTCAGCCAGCCAATCACAAGGTGGTGAAGACAACAGACCCTCTGTAGCCATTATTTCTTGACATAGGAACAAGAGGAGGCCACTCCACCCGTCAAGCCTGCTGCTTCGTTCAATAAGATCAGGGCGGATCTGATTTGAACCTCAATCCCATGTTTCCTGCATGCCCTCGATCATCAAAAATCTATCTCTCTCTCTCTCATACAAATATGTAAAGATTCTGCATCTACTACCTTTTGAAGAAGTTAATTCCAAAGAGTCACAGTCCTCTGAGAGCAATGTTTCTTTGTTTCTGTTACAAGTCAGCGCTCACTTATTTTTAAACCATGACCCCCTAGCTCACAATCCTCCGACAAGCGCAAACATCCTTTGCACATTTGCCTGGTCAAATCCCCTCAGGGTCGTCCACGTTTCAATTCAGTCACCTCTGTCTCTTCTAACTTCCAGAGGATACAGGCCCAGCCTGTCTAACCTTTCCTCGGAAGCTCATTGCAGGTATTAGTCTGGTAAACCTTCTCTAAATGGCATGAACATGATTCGGAGAGCAGTCACTCAATGGGGAAAAGGGCATGTCGCTGTGTGGGACAGAGGGAGATGGTCCCGGGCCTCTCAGACACGTGGAGCCCCATGCTGGGTACGTACCAGGGCAGTCACGCGGGGCCCCACGCTGGGTACG